GTCAAGAAATGGCTGAGTTATCGAAAAAATTGTCATTATTGAGAAGACCATCCCTGAAGGGGGGTACAGGGATTTTTTCAAAAAAAACCTTTTTTTCTCCGAATTATTCGCAATATATATAAATCGACTCAGTTTTTAACGCTGATTCCGAATCTGATATTAGTTTTGAACCAAATCGTAGCTGTCTAACAAAACATCCCCCGAAAAAGGCCTCAAAATGCAGAAAAACTACATGAAGAAAGCAAATAGTCTAGATATGTCTCAGATGATAAAAAACAAAGTAAATATACCTTTTCACTTTTTGAAGTACACTTAACACTCGGATTTAAATCCGATGTTTTCGCATTTATTGGAAAATATTTTTGTTGCATTTTTCCAAGTAAACTAGGTAGGAAGTCTACTGTAAACAGCTTCGACCGAGAAAAATAACTCATCAGTATTTATAATGTTGAAGATTTAGTTTGTTTTCAAGGATCGCTTCACTCAGATGCGCCACCTGATTACGAGATTTTGAGCTCATATTCTACAAATAATTAGCGAACCAGTAAACTAGCAAAATCTTCGAGGAGTTGTTTTTTACTGATTTTTTTTCGGTCGAAATATCAAATTTTCAAGGCATGATGCTGTTCTATAATTTTAGTCTAAAACTGCTTTGTTTTACAATAAATACGAAAAGGCTTCTGTACTTTGTAAACTTGGCACTTCGACAAAAAAAAAATCAATGAAAAAACAAAAGAATTCTTCTGAATTAGTGCTAGCGTATTGGTCTTCTATTGATTTTTAGAATATGAGCTCATAACCTTTGAAGTAGATGATAGACCTTAGTTACCTTTGCTTTGAAAACAAGCTGAATCTTCAATATTATATGTCCTAATGGGCCATTTTTCTCGGTCGAACCTATTTTCTGTTCGCTTTCCACCGATTACGCTTAGAAGAGTATGTAGCAAGTTTTCCATGCATTTACTCTTGTCTATTTTAATAAAAATCATAAAAGTTTACGATGAAAACTGTTTACTCAAGATTAATAAAATGACAAGGGCACAATACAATATTTCTGTTTTTGGAAGTGTGTTTTTTTTCCCATATGATAGCTTTTTTCTTTCTCTATAAAATTATGTGTTTCGAACAATTAATTACATATCAGTGTGTTATAGATAACATTAATTAACTGAAAGAGATCAAAACTTTTGAATATATCCGTTACAAGTTAACGAGTTCAACATAAATTGTTATCTTACTTTACTCGATAACTTCATTGGCGCATGAATTCTTTCATACATAGAAAATTCTATGTTGAAGATAAATTTAATTTAATAATCATTTGAAAGCAATAGAAAGAATTGTTTTCTAATAGAATAAATCTCAATTTCTTTCGTCAATTCTTTTGTTGAGAAATTTTTATCTTTCGAACGAATCGATTAGTTAAAACGTATTTCAATAAATACGAAAGTAAAATCGATATTTTTACAAGAATCTTATGTCTATATCACATAATGAAAATAGTGAAATCATACAAACATAATGGTAAGATTAATATAACTTTCTTATCTCTAGTTCAATGTGTACTACTATATGAAAAGAATTTTGATTGATATATGTTCTTGTTGATTCTCATGTGACAATTTATTTATTTTCTTTTTTTTAGCAAAAATTTAATGAAGATTCGTACATTACAACTTATTGGCGGTGCTGGTCGTGGCACCTGCTGTTTATTACGTACAGTTCCACCAGTAATGGTAAGTGATTTAGCTTTCATTTCATTCTTCCACATTTATAGTAATTAATATTTTCTATATCTTTTTCATGTTTAGGGTTGCTCATCAAACAAATGATCATGATGAACAATTATTTATAGTTTTGCTTCTTTTTTTTTTTTTTGTTCTGTGCTTTTTTTTCTATTATAAACATGATTTGAAAAAGAAAAACAACAGTAAAAAAAAACTAAACTATTTATACTTAATTCATACTGCTATGTATGTATCTGAGACAAAACTAATCTATTATCCATCATCGTACATTCTTTTTTTTCATAACCACTATAGGCACAACATATACTTCTCGCTATCGAATAACTATGTTCTACTATGCATATACTCAATAGGTCGTTTATGATGGAGACCTTGGCGCTTTTCTGATTGGTGTTGATATTAACAGTAACGAAGAGGAAAAATATATATATATATATCAGTCAACTATTTTTTTTGTCTATCTGCAAGCTAAGATTGTATTCAGAATATATCAGTACATACTTGCATAGAATAGGATGATATCCAAAATTACTTTTCTCACCGTAATTTTTTACTGTAAGTTATAATACAAAGAATATAGAACAAAAAAAATATATACCTATTTCGACTATTGATCTTTATAGTAGCTGTCATTGAATTGGGCTGTATTAGAGCTAAGATTTGTTATCAATGTGACGATTTAAATCCATCAAGTAAATTGAAATTCTATGGTGAAAAAATAACGAAATGTAGTGGCGTACCATTCGAACAATATGCTTCAAAAACTTCAAAAGCATTTGGTGCTGCTGTTTTAACATGTTTTACGGTAATATTTGAATTATAATTATATTAACTAGAATATTTTCCTCGATTTTATACATATGTGAAAACAATTGCTTATATCTTTCTATATTTATACAAGATATGAAAATATCAATCGAAATTTTTATATTTTATTTTTAAAGCGATTCAATGCATCTGGTGCTGTTATTAAACGAGGTGCATTTGGACTTGGTGAAACATATGATAAAAACTTCAAATGTCGAGATCGTTTTCATATATGTTGCAGAAAAGCTTTCTGTAACAAACATACTAAAGCACCTTGTCCACCACCAGGTTAGTATTCAATCGTCTATTTCTACATTATTAAAATACTAAAAAATCTTTTTTAATATATAGATAAAATAACAGCAAAGAAAGCAGTAAAAGCATGTTATCAATGTAAGGGTGCTGAAGCTTGTAAAGCAGAAAAGCTTGAGGGAAGTGAAATTCGTACATCGGGTGCTTGGGGTGGTAGAAATTTATACTGTTATACGGTATGTAGCAAAAAAAAAATAATTTATTATTTTTCTCGTCGACTTTTATTACTGTAATATTACTATTTATTGTTTTTTTCTTTTTTTTTGTTATTATCGCTGAATAGAAATTCGATCCAAAGACAGGTGTCGCTGTTGCTCGTGGTGGTTTTGGATTTGGTGAAGCAATCGATAAAAATCTCAAATGCGATGCTAAACATTATTTATGTTGCTATGATAACTTGTGCAACAAGCAAACAACTGGTTATTGTGCCAAACCAAAATAGTCCAATTGACTGGAAGAAACTAAATCATAAATGTATGCATGCTGTGTGCTTTAGTCTGAACAATTTTTATTTACATTCTTTATTTTATTTTATAACAAATATAAGGCTTGTATCAATTAAAAAGTATAGATTAGTCTAATAGAATGCATGAATGACTCGTTATTTAAACTTAGAATAAAAGAGAATTTTCATCATGTTCAACTTTTCTATTGAAATATTGTTAACGAGAAAATCATTCTAATTTAAGAATAGTTTCGTCTACGAAATTATAGATGCTTAATTGAAATTTTGTTCATAGATGGATCTATGAGTAACTAGAATGTTCTGAAAATTTGATTCAAAAGAATATTTCCTTCACGAGATATTGCATTCTCCCTTTAAAAAAAACACGAGATTCTCAAGTCTTTCATAGACTACGAATGATTGTTGAGAATTTAATATCTTGCGAAGAGAATATTCTTTTGAGCTAAAAATTTTCAAGACATTTTAGTTATACGTACATCTATCTATAGGCAAAATTTCATTTCGAACTATTGTTATTTAATTCTTTTGTATATGCCATGCTCTAGGCTAAAGTTTCATTACAACGGCTATAACTCTGTAGGGAAGGCTGAGGAGCTTTTGTGCTTTTAGGAGTTTTTAATACCTCATCGAGGTCTACCTTTGCAAACTCAAAAGCAATCTTCAAGGTAGAAAGATTCCTTTGTAAGTGGCATCACGGTTGAATTCAATAAAAGCATGTAATCAAGTGTTTCAAATAAAAAGAAAAATCATATCAAATTTATACAATGCATCTATGAGTATTATCGTAATCATACAAAATTTTTTGACAACATCATGATTATTTTTTTCTAGCTAATAATAGTTTAATTGAAGACAAAATATGAAATCAATACTCTTAAAATTGTCATTATTTTATTATTTTTAACGAATAAAGAAGAATGTTTTTGTCATACATTATAAAAACACTTCAAGGTATTTTATTAATGAAAAAAAAGAAATTACCTATTTGTTCTATTCATCAACTTAACTTTGACCTACTTTTTACATACATAAAATTTTTTTTTTCAATATTATAACTTGAAAAATATTTTTATTAATGAAACAAGTTTTCTAATGTACTCATTGAATATTTTGTTTAGAACCTACATTGAATAAGATAATTATTTCTTACGATACATAACAATTTTATTATGAACCTATTAATTGATGAAAACTTTCCTTTTCATAAAACATCAAAAATAAACATAGGTCAGGTCAAAGTCAAAGAAAGATAAGCATTCAAATATGTGACGTATTGTTTTCTATTCAGTGAGTCATGAAGGCGCATGATATTGAACAATTGAATTGTATTAATATTTGCTTAATACAAAGCTTAGTCATGAGGGAGTCACTAGAACGGATGCGCGCTATTGAAGGTCATACTCAGCTGAAAAAGAATTCTCGTTAGAACTAGAAAAAAGGTTAAAAGAGTTCGTTCCCATAGGCTTTTAGTGTCAAATTAAGATCGGTCCACTGAATTTTCGATTCCTCTTCAGATAAGTATTAAAAATTAAAAAAAAAATAATAGAATTTCATCGTAGTTGATTTACTTGTAGAACAATATCCTAGAAGTTTCAGTTGAAATTATTGTTCTGTTTTTTTTTGTTTAGAATTGAGTTTCCCAAAATAATCTTTTGCCACAGGCATAATACAAAAATTGAGTTTAATTGGAAATTTAATATCTTGATGAAGAAACATTATTTTCGGATGCAACTTCTAAGATATTCTACAGGGAAATCGATTTATCTAGAGGTGAAATGTCATATCGAAATTCTATTTTTCCTATTCTATTTTTTTTGGTATATATCTCAAGCTGAATCACATAACATTCTTATAGATTCAATATGAGCTCAAATGATGGATATTAGATTGAGTAGCTTAGTTATTCTCAACATTCCACAGTAATTCATTGATAGTTTTAAATCAATAAGAAAAAAAGTAAATTTCCGATTCAAACATAGATATCAGTAAAAGAAAAATAAAACATGATAAATAATGTTTGTTAATCTAATGTGATGGTCATTTCACTGGTTTATTATTATTTTTATTGTCTTAAAGAGAAGGAGAAGAAATTAGTCACTGTTATACGTTATTAATACACGAAAAAAAATCCGCATCATTAAATGAAATTTTTATCCATATACATTTCGGTGAATAGAGATGGACGATAAAAAGAAGAAAAAGAGAGAAAATCAAAAGAGAAGACCAATCACCAAGGAGCATTATTGGGAATGTTAAATACAATGTATTTCTTTCTTTTTTCAAGGTAAGGATTTTTCTTTGGGTGGGGATGATGATGAAATGGATGTTGATGGTTGTGGAAAATGATTGTTCGTTGCTGGATGTGAGCTCGATGTTGGCGATATCATTGATGAATCCGGTTCAGCAAAAAGTGGATTGCGTACTTCCATTTCCCCCGTCTATAAATACAAAGAAAAAAAAAAAATTCAAATTTAGTATGAAAGTAAACAAAAAAAGAAAGAACATGAATTTAACGTACAGGAGCGAGTCCAGGACATTCATATACTGTATAATCTCCCCCTCCGGGTGCTTCATCATCTGAATCGTCTGAATGGACTGGTTTTGCATCTAGATGAGCTCTATTAAGAAATAAAAAATAAAAAAAAATTTTTTTTTTTGAGATAAAAATCATATTTTAAATCGTACTTTTCTTGTGCCATCATTTGTTGACGTTGCTGTTGGTAATGAAACATTTGTGCACTTTGAGCCAATTTTCGATCAGACATCGTTGAACTCGGTGAAATTTTACTACCACTAGAAACAGGTCCTGTAACGCCATATGATGGATATTCGGCATCAACAGCTGCTTCGGCTCTCTTTTGAATCCTTTTAAAAGAAAACAAAGTCGTCAGATTTGATATGACATTTATGAGACATGTCGGCTCGCCTCTCATTAATTTTGAACAATTTATATTCTTGAAGTCACCTATTTTTATCTTAATATGTGTCTAGTGAAAGGATTTCGTTCTAAATAAGTACCGAGCACTTTGCAAGAACATTTTAGAAAGTATTAAAAAATTTATGTCAAGTAGCAGTTTTTCTTTTTGAAAGTAAATGACTATTTAACTCAGAATAATTTAAAGTAATTTCTTTCTGTTTCAAGATGACGCCTTAGGCTAAATATTTGATGTCTTTCATATTGATAATTATATTAGTACAGTATTTTCTTTAACATAATGACTTTTATTTTTCAGTCTTTTGTACAGTCAAAAAAAGTTCATATTGTATTAGATTTAATCATCATGCAGAATCTTATAAATATTTTTCTATGCATAATCATCTTTAGTTTATTTTGAATGGAGATTAATTAATAAACAATCTATCAAAATTGTTTTCAAAAATTTTTAAATGAATACTTACTTGTACCAGAAAATAGCTGCCGCAACGAGACCCACAAAACCGACTACACAACATGTTCCCACAATCACTATGAAAAAAACAAAAGAACATTAAAGTTTTATAATTTATTTATTGAAAAAATTTGAATGAAAATTTTCTTGTAACTATATAATATTTCTATTCTTGTAGGCAGGATTTCTCATCATATACAAGAGAGTTTTTAATTAACTTTTCATTGGATATATAATCTGTTCAACAACAACAACAAAAAGAAACTTCTATGCTAAGTAAAAATAATCAACTCATCTGTCAAAAAATGTAATCAATTGTTTTTAGATCATGATCAGACTAAGAAAAGTTCGAAAGGATTTGATATTCATAAGTCTTTCTTCAATAATAATCGAAGTTGTATTAAATTTTCTCATACCAAAAAATCTAACTTAAAAGGTTGTTTTCTTCTTAAGGTATCTGATGTAAAAAAAAAAGTTCTAGTTTTTTATTTTCTTCTCACATTTGATATCTTAAGAAACTATTAATTATTATGATTACAATTTTTAAGAACATTTGAAAAACTAGGTAATTCATTGAGAGATAAAATTTCTCATTAAACTTCTTTCATTCAAGTTTGTCGGTGAATGTGTTGCGAGGTAATAATGAACTCGGTGTCAGTCTGCCGTCAGTTGCTGGTCTATCTTATTTTCTTGCTTTTATTTATATCAACTTATTCAAAACTTTTGGTCTTAAAGTTAGTTCGTTTTAGAAGTCATGTAATAAAATTTTGTAGGCAGCTGACAATATTAGATAGTATTATCTATCTGAGTATGTTTCTATAATCAATTCAATAATTATATTGTTAAGAAAACTTTATCTCTGCAATTGTTGCTGCAGAGATGAAAACCGAGTTCGGTAGTCAAAAATTCCGATCAATTCTATCTATGTTGCGAGATATTGATGATAAATTAAGTATTCTGAAATGGAGGAAGAAACAAGTATGTATAGGACTTCTTTTTTTTTTCAGAATTTTTCTTTTCATAGAAAATGATTCTTTCATAGATGAAGTACTTTTGATGTCATGCAATTCTATCTCTTTTGAACTTCAATATTTGATAGAAACCTACCGATGAATAATGTATCATTACGTCGTTTTTTTCTTTCAATAGAATTTAATGCTGCATTCGATTGTAAATATTCAGCTCGTGCATTAGCATGATCTACAAACCATGGTTCTTCAGGAAAACGTTGATCATTAATTTGAGAATGTTTATTGACGGATAATTGTTCACTATCATCGCTCACTTTGTTTTCAATTGGTTCATCCACTTGATTTTCTTGACCTAGTTGTTTAAAACTTTCTAAAAAACGAAAAATAAATTATAGAATATTTTCAACAATGAACAAGTTTTTTTTTGTTTTCTTACCAGGTACAATTTCATTGACAGTTATTCGACGTTTTGTTGCCGCTTCTTTGTCTATCAATGCTTCCCAATCAAAGTTTTCTCCTCGTTCTATATACAAAAGAAAAATATTTAGAAAATTATGCATGAAAAAAATTATATTTGGCCATAAGCAAAAAAAAGAAATATTTTGCTTCGGCATCAAATTCTTTTTTTTTTTTTTTTTTTGACTACCTCAAGTCATAATAGAAATAGTAGTTTTTTCCTTTTCTGCCTCTCCTCTCGACTTTCCGGCATTCTATATATTATAAACGGAAACAAATTGATCGTGTTTTTTCCTCTTTTTATTTTTGGATTTTATTATTTTAAAAACAAAGGTTCGAATTAAAATTAAAAAAAAAAATATACATATATATTACTTTCAATCTCTTCTTGTTCAATTGCTGATGGTGGTATAAATTCATCACTTATTGGTTTTTTAGTTGTTTCTTCTTTAATTTTTGGTGTTTCTATTTGTTGATGTGTTGGATGTATTTTTGGTAAGGGAAGATAGAAGATACGCGAAGCGTCAATTGTTGTTGTTACAACAAGGACAAAAAGAACTATATTATTACTCACAAATATTTTCATTGTTTTCGTGTATGTCTATGTTTTTATGTATGTATATATATATATATATGTATGTATGTATAGAATATTACTTGAGTACTATGAGTTTCTTCACCGGTAACGTTTGCGTGCGTGTATGTTGGTTCACACGCACACAAAATGCTCCAATGTCGTTGTCATCGTGTGGAACTCGCCCGATAGTATTCTTGCTTTTGTTCAGATTTTCTTTTTTTTTCTATATGAGAATTTCCTTCGTTTTTTTTCTTTTTTTCTCGCTTTCTAGATCTTTTTTTTTCTTTTTGCCGACCGACAATGACTGACGTTCATATAATGAGCTTTATAACGAAAAAAAAAAAAAATTGCGCATGCATCACAACAGAATATGAGAGAGACAAAGAAGAAAAACAAGAAAAAGGAATGACAGCTATAGGCACCAACAACACTAGCTTGATTCGCTAACGCATACTTAAACAACATAGTACTCGATGTTTACTTGGGAACAATAGGATTAGATGATCAATAGAGTTTCTTGAAATTAAAATTAAATAAATCATTGTTTTTTTTCTTAAAAGGTTAATTTGATCATTTAGACAAATTTCTTTTTCTTTTTTGTCTTGTTTTTTTTTCTCCTTTTATTCATCTATGCAAGTTCAATTTCATTACGAACTATAGTCACGAGCTTCTATGATGATGTTTTTATTTTTCTGCTTCCATTTACACCTTTTATTTTTCCTTCTTTTTTTGCGCAAGTAAGGAAAAGAAAAAAGAAAAGAAGCTTACACTATTTGAGATAAAAATATTCTGTTCTAAAATAACAAGTCGAGTTATGCTTCAAAATGAAATTATTGATAATAATCATGGTTTAATCAATATAGCAAATAAACAAAATCGAGTATAAGTCACACGAACAAATAAAAACTACACAATTGAGTTAATGATAGATTTCAAGAAGGCGGACGGAGGATATTGAGGGCAATTGTTTCTCTATTCCGAAATATTTTCTTTTTGGTTTTTCTCAGCAGAAAATGTTCAACAATAAGTTGACACGTTTCATGACTATCATTGCATATCTTTCTCAAAAGCTTAGATTCATCACTGAATTGAATCTTATTAAATTGTTGAAATAGTCTTTGACACGTATTCTGAAGAACTTTAAAAAGAAAACATTTACATGATAGACTCACCTTCATAGACACGAATAGCGAAACAAGTATGTTGTTTATATAAAAATAAATGATCACTGAATAGAAGAAGAAATAATAAAGATGTAAATCGGTGTACAAAACCCAGATGTGTCATTAATAATATCATCAAATAGACTAAATCTACTTCATTGTTTATATTATCAGAATGAAAGTAGTACACAGGAAGTAAGACGTTCGTATGAATAAATAATATCAATCAGTGATTTGAAAAGAACTAGTAGATAGGGAAAAAAACATTATCTAAAAATATAGTGACATTGACAATTGGCCAAAATTCAATAAGAATGAAAAGGAAATGGGCAACAGCAACAGCTGTCGAACGAACTTGACTCGTTTCGAGGTATTAGTTGTCACAATTCGAATACCCATTATATATGTTGACAGGATTGCTTATCAAATGATCACAAATTTTAGTTTTCTTTTTCTCTGCTTCTCAACGAATATTTCAAATAACACACTTTATCATGAAGAAAAACAATATATCAAATCTGTTGTAAGATATTCTTCTATATAAAAATAACTTCAGATACAGTATTTGTTGCTTGTGCCAATGAATCAATTATAATATGTACAATAACATAATACGAGTGGTATATTAATATACAATTCATAAATTGAAAAGTAACCACTATTATGAAGACTTTGACATATGTACAACAGATGTCACCACCAATTAGATTTGCAGTAACTTTTTCATGAAAGATTGGATTTTGATATAATTCAATTTTTTGTGTGTATTTATTATCAATAAAAGCAATTTATATATAAAAGGAAAGAATTCTACTTGAAGTTTTCTTTTGTCTATACCATTAAATTAAACAGAATGAAAAGTTATCGTCTGTTTGACATAGAGAAATGATCATTTTTGCATTCTGTTCTCTTGATCAATGCTTTTACTCGATGTCCTTTCAATTATAACCACATTGACAATCGCAAAACAGAAAGAAAAAAGATGTTTTCTAATGATAGCTTTTAATAATCGATTTTACTAATGTCATACTATCGAAGAAGTTTGTTTGAAGACTTTGTATGTTGTATTTCTTTTTCAAGTATTTATTAAAATTATTTTATATAAAGATATTATTGAATAAATCCTAGTGACTTAAGTTTTATATATTTGCCTTTTGTCTGTGTATATTTTCTATGCATACATTAAAGTCACTTCAAATGATTATTCAATTAGGTTTAATCTTTTCTCATCTTTTATCTTGATCTTAAAAATAAATCCAAATGATATGCATCTCAGCCAGTATTATTACTTTGATAGGTGGTATTAAAGGTGCAATAAATTGATGACTATATTTAATGAGTACGTCAAATGTTCTTAGTAAAATATTATATATTTTATCGGTATGAGATATCGTTTTCATTCGTTAATATCATCGATTATTAAAACTCTACTTGGTTTATATTTTCATTTATAGTTTTTTTTGTTTAGTTGTACTTGCAAAATCAATAAAAAGGATCAGAATTAAAATGAATTTCTATTTATTCAGATTGAATGATTTTTGTATAAAATGCTCTTCGATCATCATATATACTTATTGGTTTAGATTTTGTTTTGTATTTCTATCGCTATGATAATACCTGGTGTATTGATGACAAATGTACTAATAAGAAAAAAAATGAAACCTAATCTAGGGATGTGCAGCTTCAGTTTACTGTCTATCGACGTCATTGACTCAGTGTAATTAGTACACTATTGCGCCTGTGTTTACTGACGTCTTGGAATACACCGCTACAAAAAGGGCATATTTTGATACTTTTGATGTGTGAGTGACTCACTGGCCAATATTTATAACAACATTACAGATGCCTAATCTAGTCTTATGAATTCACAACTGAGGATGTGCAGTTGTAGTAAACTGTTCAACGAAAATTCACATTGACACATCCATACAGTATGGATATCTCCAGTAAATTAGTGAACATCGATCCATTGTGTCATTATTTTAATCGAAACTGAACATTTGTATTCACAACTGATATTTTAAAGAATAAAAGTAGAATTGTACAGTTGTACGTAACATTGATGTTAATCATTTGAAGAAGAAAAAAATATTTATCGTCAAAGAGAGACCACAGGGAAATGATAGTCTGCATTTGTCACTATCTTAATTGATATAAGATTTAGAGTGAACATTGTTTATGTATTCACAGTAAATATAAATTTCTAGAAATTTTCTTCTTCTACTTAGAACAAATTGGAGCGAACATGTCAGATGATCTTCTCGAAAAAATATCTAATACTAATGAAGATCAAGAAACTAATCCGGTATTTTTCAATATGTAAACTAAAAGGATGGTCTTATTGTTTTTTTTTTTTGTACAAGATTATAAAATAATTCAATTATTTATTATCGTTATTTAATCCCCAATTAAAATGATATAGTAAATTATCCGCTGTCATTTTAATGGAAAAATTGAATTCATTTATAAGAAAATATTCATAATTAAATATCTTAAGATGAACTTCGAGAGTATGAATTTATATTAATTATTGTTAACATCTAAAACTTTTAAACTTCATATAATTTTATAAGCTTGAAAGCCAGCCGATTGTATAGCTTGAATGATTATATCATCCTCAATAGGAACATGTGTAATTAAATCAGCTTGACCAGAATCAAGATCAACATTAACGTTAAGAATTCCATTGATTTTTTGTAATGAACGAATAGCAGCTAAACGACATGATTCACAATGCATTCCAATTATTTGCCAATGTATTATGATAACATTGTTATCTAGTGTATCATTTGTAGACAATTGATTATTATATAGTCGAAGTATATGAGGTGAAAATGTTAGAAATAATGCTAAAATAATAATCATAGTAAAATGCCATTTTGATGGACGATAACGAAAATATGAATAAGTTAATGAAATAATACTAAATGAAATGAATATAGGTCGATAGGGTAAAAGAAATGTATTCAATCCAGCACATCCAATACCGAATAAATTTAGAAATAATTGTAAAACACAACATGGACAACATAAAAATATCAAAGAACTACCGAAAAAATAATTTCGCCAACTAAGAGGAATCATTTTTTCTTTAATCTACAATATAAAATATTATATTCATATTCATTATCATTTGAATTTCAAATAAATAATGTTGCCAAATAGAAGTCTAAAATTCTACAAAACTTTCGATCGTAAATCTTGTAACAAAGTGCGAATTTTCCTTTGATTAATTTTACGATGAATCTTCTATTTTATTTTCAAGTTTTAACAAAAAAAAAAAAAATTTACAAAACAGAATGTTTGTGTTTTTTTTATTTCTCATTGTTCCGATGAATTGACTCCATTTGAGTTTCGTTGTTTTCGTAAATTAATAACTTCTTTTTCTAATTCATTAATTGCACATTCAATTTCATAATTTTTACCAACAAGACCAACCCATCTAAAACATAAAACATAAATATCCCAATGAAAACATATTTATTAAACTTACGTTTGTTCAAGTGTACTTAATTTACTACCTGCTTGTGTTTGTTCATTTTTACGTTTAAAATTTATTTCTTGAATATGTTTTCTTAATAAAGAAATACAAAAAATAGCTTTTCTTTTTCAAAGACATTTCAAACGATTATCTACCGAAGTTCTAATAATTGTTTTTGTGCTTGTTCTAACATTGTTTGTAATGTTGTATTATAAATTTTCCATGTATTTGCTCCATAATCCCACATTAATTCAAGATTAAGAATTCTAAAGAATAGTTATTGTTGTTGTTTTTTTAAATATTTTTTGCTTATTCATTACCTTGTTTGTTGATGTTCAAGTTGAGCATAAGAATTTTCAACACATTCATTCCATGCTGTAAAATCAGTTTGTTTACCGGGTTGTGGTGCTGGTAATTCATAACTTAAAGAAAAAAATACAATGAAATTGATAGAAAAAAAAACAAACAAACAAGATTCTCAATTATTATACCGTTTCATGCTTAACATTTCCATAGGTAATCGATTAGAAAGTCGTTCAAATTCTGTTTTCATTATTTCTGTCTATGAATAAATAAACGAAAAAAATTTAACATTGAATTAAAACTCCAAAATTGAAATTACTTCAAATGAATGATATAGAGGTTGACCAAGTTGTTCTAAATAATTTTTTGTTGGTTTATAACGACGAGTTTCGTCTTCTACTAAACTAAGAGCCTAAAATTATCAGATCAATTACGTATTGATAAAAATGAGAAGAAACATGAACGTACAGCTTCACGTGCACCCGGTTCATCATATCCACTATCATAATAAGGTAAAGCATCTACAATAACATCAGGTGCTGCTTGATGTCCATGAGCAGGATTTGAATGATGTATAACAAGTGCAGATGTTGTAGAATTTGTCATTTGTCTATTACAAAATCAATCACAAAGAAATTACAGATATTGTTGTAAATTCAATAATTTCAATGAGAAAACATGGATGGCATTTTGGATGTTTGAACGAATCGATTGACATAGATGAAGAGAAAGTTAAGAGAGGTCGCTCGATAACAGTGCTTCACATACCTTTTCATATATGGATTTTTCTTATAAATTCTATCTATATTTTAAGCTTCATTAGTGTTAGATAGTCGATAGCAATATTTTTATTATTAATAAGTATATCAACGTAGTTTCCGTTAGGGGTGTAACAGTTCAGCTCTAGTTCCAACCAAAGGAGCTGTTTGAACGTTCTTTTGATAGGAGCTGAGCTTTTTGAACAGCTCTTTTCAAAAGAGCTGAACTGTTCGAACAGCTCTAGTTCCTGAACTGAACTTTTTGAACAGTTCCTTTCAAAAAAAGTTGAAAAATTTTTTTTTCTCAAAAAGTCTGTTTCTGCATTAAAAAAAGATTTTCAAAAAAAAAAATTTTTCAACTCTTTTGAAAGGAGCTGTTCAAAAAGTTTCGTTCAGGAACTAGAGCTGTTCGAAGAGTTCAGCTCTTTTGAAAGAAGCTGTTCAAAAGGTTCAGTTCAGGAACTAGAGCTGTTCGAACAGTTCAGCTCTTTTGAAAGGAGCTGTTCAAAAAATTCAGCTCCTATCAAAAGAGCGTTCGAACAGCTCTTTCGTTCAGATGAGCTGAACTTATGAGCTGGAGCTGGTGCACCCCTAGTTTCCGTAGTGCAAATATGATAAGCGGTGCCACGCTTCTACATGTTTTCCTGCTTCTGGAACCCTTCCACACAGTGCCACATATATTTGCGACCCAACCATTCTAAATGATACAATAAATCATAATCTTTTCAAAATCGAAAGAGTGCATATTAAACACTTACATGAAGTCTTACTATGTTGTTGAGGTCTTGTGAGAAGGTTTCATGTAATCTTTTCAGACGCAACAGCCTTCTATATATATATGTGTGTTTAGTTATGTGATCAAATTATGTTCTATAAAAATACTTACTAGAGCACTTTGGCATGAATTGTAGAGTAAAAATTTCTTTTTTTTTTCATTTTCGGTCAGCAATGAAAGATATTTATTACATAATGTCGCTATAGTCATGTAGAGGCTAGCACTAGCTGCAGTTAATCCTATTTCAAAAAGCGATACCTGCTTATAAAAAGAAATAAACATTCTTTTTATGTATAACTGTCTATGCTCTCATCTTGATTTTTTTTATTTCACTATTAAGTGTTTATCACAATTTTACAAATCTATTATACACTCAAATACAGCATCTATCATTTAGAAAAAGCGTTTTATTTAATTTTTCTTATTCACTTAATTACGAAAGAAATGAATATTGATTCTGGTGAAAATGATGATAATAGTAGTACTGAACATGAAGGAGTATACGCTAAGAAATGGTCCAAAAAGTTTTTTTACACTTTCATTTATAATGATCCTTTTTTAGAAGGATCTATAAGTAATATAAAGAATGCGGGTAAATATGACGAAGATGATGACATCAATAGGGATGTAACCGTTATGACTGAGTGCGTAAGTTGTTTACTACGTACTATTAAGGTACTATGTTTGAGTCACGGTATCGTCAGATATGGAATGATCATGGACATGTCACTAGCAGCTGTTTGTCTCGGTGATCGAAAAGCTCGAGTGATTGAGTGGAAGAACCCTGAGTATGGCAAATAAATAAATTGAAAAACTTGATAAAAATTATGCCACACTTTCTTTTGCACATATATTTTTATTTATTCTCCCTATAAAGCCAATTTAATGATTAGTTAATATTTTTATGTCATTAGATAGTCCATAATATCTCATCTGAACTTAATGCTAAAGTACTTTAGAAAATAGAGGAACAAATAATGTTAATTATTCAATGTTTCTTTCATTTTATTAAATTCAACATAAAAACAAAACAACAAGTAGAATATAGTGAAGTGTATATGTATGTTCAATTGTTTAGCGTTGCTGATAAAAATGTACCCAATCAATTTCCATTCGACGAGGAAAAATATTGTTATCAATACCTTGTGCACCACCCCTGAAAAAAAAGAATATGTTTCGAAATCTTGAGAGGTATGTGTCTTCTTCACTTGTTTTAGAAGCTACTGATAATTTCTTTTTATTCAACATCGTATAACCTAATGAATGATGGATCGCTCTCTAGTAATGTCATTATTCAGAGATTTGACTCATTTTTCACTTTCATTTCTAGAACGATCGTATTTTATTTTTAACAAGCAGATTGGAACAATCTATTCAACCCATAAGTCATATGATCTTATCTGAACGCACACGATGTTCCTCCTTTTTTGTGTATATCAGTGTCCTTAATGATAATAGTGGGGAGAGAGTATTTGAAATTTTGAGATATTAACCAAAAAAATAAAATTAAGATTTGTAAAAAATTTTCATGTCAATGTTGAAATACTCACCAACTACCACCCACAGCAATATTGATAAGAACAAAAAATGGTTTATCAAATGGCCTAAATATAGTAAAAATTTACTTTTAGCTTAATTTGTTTCGAATGTTTTCATCGTGGAAATTGATATCTTACCATTGTGTCCAATCGCCTTGTTTATTCCAAACTAAGATACTATTAGCGAATGGATTTGCATCATCTCCAACGAACATTTCAATTTTATTGACATTCCAATCGAGTGTGTAAATTTTAAAATTTGAAACAGCATCCTTGACAGTTATGGAATTTGTTGGTTGGTTGCCTTTCATATGATTATATGCTTGTGTGTGTACAGTTGAAACGATACTCAATGGATCATAACCAACTTGTTCCATCAAATCGATTTCACCATTATCTGGCCAATAGGTATTACTGTATGTTTGCTTTTCCGGTAACTATTGTATATTTTATATAGATTCGAAAAAAAAAACAAATTCAATAAATAGTTACCATCCAAAGAGCTGGCCATAGACCACGACCATCAGGTAATTTTGCACGAATTTGTAAACGGCCATATACCCATGTAGCTTTGCTTCGAAGACGAGCCGAAGTATACTGACTATTTGCCATGTTTTCCTGAAAAATATATATAGATATGCAAGACAGATTCAATACAATTTCTTGCTCTAATCTTACCCGACGTGCCTCAACAATGAGACGACCATTGGTACTGCCTGGAAATAGTTCACAACGCGCATTTTCCCATCGATTATATGTGTAATATTGTTGCTCATTGTTGCCTAAATTGATGACGTAAATAATTACATGATACATTTGAATGAGATAGAAAATGAGCAAAATATATATATATTTACCCCAACCACTTCCACCGACATCAAAGTCCCATTTATTAAGATCGACTCCACCATTCCCGTCAAAATTATCTTCCCATACGCGAACCCATCCGGTATTGACGTCACCTAAAGCAAGACAGATGTAAATTAATAATATTTCTATATATCTGAACGTTTTTCTTATTTTTTCTTTGAGTTTAGATTGAATGCTCAAGTTTGCATTATGAGAGTAGAATAGAAAAGAAATATATGAATTTGATTCTTCTGTATTCTCTACACTATACATATCAAAGGAAATTCTTTGAATGAAGACAAACTCAAAATAACAAAAGCAAATAAATGCTTATTCAAATAGCGGGTTTGTGGATTATCATGATTGTCTGGAAGACATCAATAGTATCTCGTGGTATCAAATAGTGTATGATGAAGCAATTGGAAATTGTGAAAGAAGAAAAAGGTTACTTTCTATTTTAGTCATTATCATAAAAATGCGTCCTACCTAGTACACCACAGATCATAGCTGAATCACTGGTTGAGAAGGCATCGCTTTTGGAAACCGTGCCCGATTTCATCCAACAAGTACCACCGTTATATGAAGTCCACGTAAAATGGGTACATCCTTGAGTTTGAGCACATTTCCCGCCACATAGTTCTGATGAAATTCGAACGTTAGATAGATCATTTCCACGAAAATCACACGACGTGGCCCAATTATTTCCGTTCCAATTGACAACATCCTGTTGGCCACCATTTCTTACACCACAGACCATAGTTGGATCATTGGTTGAGAAGGCATCGCTTTTGGAAACCGTGCCTGATTTCATCCAACAAGTACCACCGTTATATGAAGTCCACGTAAAATGGGTACATCCTTGAGTTTGAGCACATTTTCCACCACACAGTTCTGATGAAGTTCGGACGTCAGACAGATCATTTCCACGAAAATCACATGACATGGCCCAATCATTTCCGTTCCAATTGACAAGGCATTTGACACGATCAAGAAATAAAATATTTACTGCTATAAATCCAAGCAAAGTCCAAGCAGACAGAATATTGATCATTTTGTGATTCTGATTGTTGCTTAATCAATATTTATAGACGACTTCTAAAAAATAAAACTTGTTTTCTTTCATGAACCACAAGCAATATTGAGTGATTCTCATTGATTTTTCCAATAAAAAACAAGAGCTCCACAGTAACACCATACTATATTATCATATAAATTCAATAATCGTGCAACATCGTATCAGACTTTGCACTCCTATCACAAAATTAAAGAATGTTCTCGAGAAAAAATATACTGCGCATTTATTTTGGGCTGTGTAGGAGTAGTAGCAACGTCATGTATAAAAATCTGTTTCCAGAAGAACACTGCAAAAATTGACACAAAGTTAATTCAATTAATGCGATGTAGAAATGTAAATATTAGCTTGCAGAAAAATAGTGAAAGCTTTGGAACGAATTTCTTTATTCTTCAATTTCCTTTGAAATAAAATATTGAAGATTGGTGAAAAATTTAAATTGAGAACTGTAGAAAGCTGGTGAGAATTGAAAAAACCGATACACTTGTCATGAAACCCATAAAAGAAACGCTCATCAAATGAAAGTAGTTAGTGTAACGAAATAGAAATACTGATCGATGAAACTATCACATATATGTTAATGGAAAAGAATCAATTTGGTTTTTAAAAAATTCTAATTCTCTCTAGAATCCTAGTAAACAAAACTAGCGAAGTATAACTCTTGTTCAACTTAACCGTCTTCTGTATCCATTGGTCTAACTCGCCGACGATAAATTTACTTGTTCATTCGGATATCTTGGTTATATCAGTTACTATTATTATTTGTTTTACTCTTAGACATTTTACCTCATAGCATCATAACATAACTAATAAGATCGTCTACTTACTAGTAAAGTATAAGATTGTATTCGGCTGCAGTTTTCTTTTGATTGATGATCATTTTTCATGAGCATTTATATATATATAGATATTGCTTAAGTGAGTTTACGTGTTTATTTTCCCATATAACCTGTTGACACATAGAAAAGGAGAATGTCCTCTTTCAAAAGCTAAGGGAAAATTATGAGTCACCATGATTTATTCATTCGTAATTCAATCGTTCGTTATGTTGATACACTATGATGTTTATTATTTTCACATTATTTTGTATTAAAGCTTTCTCATAACTAGTCGTAGATGGGAAACAACCGAAGAAGAAGAGAAGCATTTCATCTTTGAAAAAATACTCAAATATTATGAGTCAACATTACCTAGTTATTCATATTTTTATTATTCGGTATGTATCGATACCAGGGCTCCGCGTAGGATTGGATCATTTTTTCAAAACTTCTATTCCGTCCTATTTCATGAGATCTTTAGCAAAATATTTACATTTTATCCTACCAATAGAATGAACAGCTACTTGAATATATAAATATACATCTTTTATACAAAAAGATAGAATCAATCTTGCCGCATAGATGACGCTTTTGTTTATTTCAGTGAAGTTATCAACAATAAAATTTATTTTATTCTGCAAATAGTTATACATTGTAGTTATTAGAGTACAGTGCAATGGATAACAATGAACGGATAAATAAACCCAAGCCGCTATTATAGTAATAGTTGCAGCTCTTATCGAAATTTTATTCATATTAAAATATTAATTGAAGTATGATTAAATGTCACCGAAAAATAAAGAATAATGCTTACTGACGTTACATATAAAGAGAAGATTCACTGAAGCTTTCTACACAGAAATCAAGTACATCCACCACTGCTTGTCGATTGTTCTCATGACCTCTAGAACTTTTCCATTGAGAATCTTACTATCTTATTTCAAATGAAACATCACTTTGAGATAAGCGTTTATTGTGATGAAACTAATTATTTTTCAGCTAATAAATCAAACATTTTGAACCTAAATTACTTGCATGACCAATCTGATATAATACTCCTAATCATGTAAAGAGAATGAGGGAACAAGGGTTTTTTTATTGCACCTAGTAGGTCGTCAGGTTTTCTAACATTGATATAAACATCAGGTTGTTTTTGATTTAGTTCTTCTAACTTTACAGCCGAAATATGACCCTAAAAAAATCTTGAACACTCACCTTTAGTCTATCAGGTACGTTTCGTGTCGATCTCGTCAACAACAAGAACAAATATCATTATTTCTCTATCATTAAAATCTCTGTTTATTATCTATAAAATCCACAAATGAAACTTTCAATATAATATCTCTTCTCTAACAATACTCTCAATAAGTATATTTAACACCAAAATCATTCTCAGAATAATTTTGACATCTCTCTGAGAGGACACCTAAGTCGATTTTTTCGATGAAAATAAAAATTGTCGTACGACTTTGAAACATATGCAGATTGACTTAATTGTTTATGTTATACACGATTGTGATGTTAGACTTTTCAGATACTGAAAATACTATGAATTTCTAGTCAAAAACAACGCTTTGATAGAAATGTGGGCTTCCTTAAAATGTCTTTTCCCATCGATATTTGAAGTTTCATTTATGGACTTTGTAACTAATTTTAAGAGCTCTTAATAATAAAAACTAGTGATGTTTGCTCTTGTTATTGAAGAGATCGAAGATTCATACTAAGCGTGTCTGATAGGCTAAATATGGGTTTTGCGAGATTTTCAAAAAGTCATATTTCGGCTGTAAAATCAGAAGAACTAAAGAAAAAACAACTTGATATTTATATTAATGTTAGAGAACTATATGACCTACTCTTTGCAGTAAAAAGTCTTTTTCTTTGATTTCTGTTTATATGATTAGCAGTATCATATCAGATTGATCATGAAAGTTACTTAGATCCAAGAACACCATATATTGACTGTGTTCAAAATGTTTTATTTATTGGTTGAAAAATAATAAGTTTCGTCACAAAAACTGTTTATCTCAACGTGATGTTTCATTTGATCTAAGTTAGTAAGAGTTCCGGTGCAAAGAGCCGTATGACCCGATTTACGATCTTATAATCTCTTTGTCCTTTGCAGTTCAGACATTACTCATTCCAACAAGAAAACGTATCTGATTCCTTTAGAAGTTGGCAATATGTCCCAAAAGAGATTGTTATATTTTCCATTTCTTTTGTAACGCATATTATTTTTATTCTTATTACCATTAGTTGATTAATACTCATGCGTAGTAGTATGAAATCTTTCGATTGTGGCTAGAACACGACGACCTCGAGGTATGCATTTCTTAGGTTTTATTTTTATTTTTTTGAAGAATTCGATTTAGAAGAGATGTTTGATCGATGCAAAGAACAAATAGAGAAAAATCTTTGAAATTATCACCAAGATAAATCAAAACTTAAATATCCTTTTTTTGTTTATTATTTCATATTGCAATGAAAATGTTCATAAATGTAAATACAAATCTACAGATGATTAAACATTATTTTCTGTAAAATAGAAAAGAAATTCTAGAATTCTTGGTTATCTCATCTAAATTCACTGAATAATAGATACAGAGAGAGTTAAACTAAATTGGGGGTGCGTCTGAGTGTTGACTTATTCTTTACTTACATTCTTTTCCAAATTGTTCAAGAGAGTTTTTAATCAAATCAAACTTGTTCCATGCATCCGTGTTTGGCTCTTTTGCATAGATGTCATAATACCGTTACACTGGATATTGAGATTTCAACGTTATAATACCCATAGAGTTCATTTTGGCGTATTACTCCTAGGGTAACAACATCGATACCCTAACATATAACTATATGTTATAAGTTGAGGAATTTCAGTTGTTTTGGGGTAATGACTTTTTGGGTATCGACTTTAGTTATCTTCATGGGTATAGAAGTGGACACCCAAAAAAGTCGTTATCCGGTGTAACGGGATTATGCCATCACTCCTCTTTTGTTACACAACTATTTCTTTCATAATATACAAACACATTTTGCTAGGGTATATTTAAAAAATTTTTCTTTAGAACACATCTATATAAGTCATATATTTTTGATTGTCACGCTGTCAGACGTCTCTCTCAACGTTAGCAGATTCTTACTTTATGAAACTATGTTTTAAGTGAAAATATTAATGCAGACATTTCTTTCTTTTACTTATGAAATGGCTCATTGTTTCCCAAGGTACACTACATATTTGTTATGCGTTTGTAAAAAAAAATCATTTTTTTAAATACAAGAAGAATAAAAAATGCGCTCAAACAATAGTTTAGATAACGTGGATTTCGGGAGGTAAAATACCTTCTATCTTTCACACGTTGAAATGGTATTTTTAGATGGAAATTTAAATTGAAAAGGTACGTTATAAAAAAAACAGATCAGTGCGAAAACAGAGCTTCTTATCCAAGATTTGGCGTTGAAATGCCGTTGTATACAAATTTCTAGTTATGCTCTACGTTTCATTTCAGATAATTGTTAATTTTTCTTCGTAAAACCAATAACAACAAGCTGTTTATCACCTTTTGAATATTCATTTATAGCTTGAACAGTCTATAATAGTATTATAAATATAAATAAAAAGATACATTTTATGCTTTTTTCCTTTACTTCTTCAACGTTCTTTTGGTTTTTCAAAACTGCAAAATCCAAACCCCTTTGACTTATGAGAAAAATTAGTCTACCTGAAAACTTAAAATTTTTGCATGCTTTGAAAAAATTTCACGTAGTTTTTATTTATCTAATTGATTGCCAACATTTTTTATAATTAAATCGGTAAATTTACATGTTTCTCCAGCATCAGCTTCTTGAGTATGTAACTTAAAACAACCAACATAAACTTTTTTGTTATCTAACAGCATATCATTTAACTTTACTAATAGCATCATCAGCTGCTACTTGCATTTCAAAATGAACGAAACCTTAACCTTTTGATTGCTCATTGTCACCTGTCAATATCTATTCATAACATAAAAGAAAAAAATAACTATTTTATTTAGCACATGGGTAATTTTACTTTGCAAGATAAAATTGTGCCAAAAGCTGAAAATATATCATAGAGTGATTTCTTATCAAAATCTTTAATAAATACACCTCCAACACATGATTTACGTAGAGCGGTCTCATGTTGAGACCGCATAATATGTAATGGACGACCACGAAATAAATCAAAGTTCATTGTATCAAGTACCCATTCAGCTAAAAGAATGGAATATTTTCATTGGTTGACGAATATCGTTTATCAAAATCAGCGAAATTGGATTTTGATCATGTTCTACAAGTCGAGTAATTAATAAAAAAACAATTATTCTTTTTCTGTTTCCAATTTCATTTGGTCACATATCATCTACTTGATAATATTATAAACTTTTGCATACGATCAGCTGGTTGCTGAAAATTAACATAAGCATAGCCAAGTGACCGTCGAATAATCAAATCACAATAGACTCGAATCGATAGAAGTGGTCCGGCATTTGCAAATTTATTGAATAACATTGCTTTAGTAACATCCGAATGAAGATCACCTTTTATTCAAAAGAAATTTAGAACAAATGTAATAATATTCTAACTTATCAACATACTATAATGAGACCATTGGATAGATGGGAACTCGTGGTAAATCACGGAGTGGTACTGGCATGTCTTTTTGTCTTTTGGAACTGTTTTTGAGCTTTTTTAACCTTATTTTGTGTTTCATTTAGGATTAGATAAAGTTGATAGCATAGTTAACGTATTTGATATTACACTCACCGTTTTGTGTGCCTGTTGTTCAACAATTACTTTGAATGGTGTTAAATCAAATTAAAGGCACTTTAAAAAGCAAAATTCAATCCTTTTGCTTTGCATAGGCCTACAAAGAGAATAATTTGATCTGTGATCAAATAATATATTGTATATTAATCCAACGATTTTGTGAAACTCACATATATAGTCGAAGAAAATAGTAAGTGTACGTTTCCAGAATTGATCAAGTTATAATTTTGAAAAATAATAAATATCATTATTTGTGAGTTGATTAACATGTATAATAGTGCGTAAGATCTGCTATAGATATCATAGATACGAAAAACACACTTATTTGTCAATCAATTCAATGGTTATAATAATAAGAATATTAAATTAAGAAAGACAAATTTAAAACAATGAAAAATGGTGAGCGAATAGCAACAATCCAAACAAAAAATAGAGCGCTCGTAGAAAAGATAAAAAGTTTCTATTCGATATGCAGAAATTAGAGAGATTCTTGCTCTAGTGATTGATTATTCCGCAAAACAGCTATAGTCTACGAGAGATTTACCACATTACGTATTTTGTATTAGTTTAATGAGACTAGAGTGCATATGTGAGTTTCACATTTCAACCTCAAAGGGGCTGCGATAGCAAGCTTTTGCTCAATCATTTCAGTTCTTGTCACTCTGACTATCAACCTACGTAACTTTCAGTTGCTATTGCTTAGAATTGTATGGATACAATGCTTGGACGTACAACAGTGTAATAATTAATCGAAAAGAAATAACTCTTGTAATTAGAGAGATACTACTATATGTGGATATCCTGAGAATCAGAAGAAAAAGTTTTTTTTTTTATTTTTTCGATTTTAGTTTTTANACATTCAAGGCCGGTAAAATCAGTAACAGAAACGCTTTTTTAGGAGCAAAACTGTGGATTTTTTACACCTTCAAAAAGCGACTTTGAAAATGTAACATCCATAAACTGGCTTTTTTTAAAGAGAAACTTGAGATTTTTAGTGTAAAACGTGCGCATGTTAAGTCATTAAAGAGTCCTTTGGCTGCTGAGAACGTTTTATTTTTAAATGACATTGTTAAAAATTTTCGGAGTTTTTCGGAGGCGGAATCGGAGTCAAAAAATAACAATTTTCGGAATCTGAATTGGAATCGGAGTCATAAAAAGAAAGATTTCGGAATCGGAGTCGGAGTCGGAAGAAAGAAATTTTTCGGAGTCGAAGTCGGGTTTCGGAATGAAAAAAGTTGACTCCGCAGGTCTCTAGTTTTGACATTTGTACTTGAAAATAATAAATAACAAACAACGTTGAATAGAAAATGAATGAAATGCTTCGTAAGATTAGAAAGGCAGCAATCTTAGCAACCAGCTAGATAATGTTTGCCATGCGAACACAATATCGAAGCGTGGCATAAGGATGCTGGAAAGAATATATATCGATCGATACCAAATATATCCTCGTCGTGGTCGCCATGGAATACTCCAAAACGATCGTCGGGGCTAAATCATTTTATCCGTCAGAAATTATCAGTATGCAGAAGACAAACTTACTTGAGCTTCGATCCAGATCTGTATAGTGATAGATGATTGTTCATCAAGCAGACTATTCAATCGACATGTATAAGTACTTTTGGCCAAACGTCGTGAGCCATACATTAATAGTTCTGGTTCGAAATACCAACGCTGTTCGATATTACCAAACTTTGAATGAGTCTTAAATGATGCATTGGACAAATCATGGAATCCATCAATCAAACGAATCATATCCATTTTTGAACTGATGGACGAAACATATAAATGTTTCACGTGTGGAAAAAGGCGCAACAATATTTCGATTATGTAACTTGTGTTTTCAGTGGAAAGACAACATTCAAGTGTCCGAATTTGTTTCATTCGATAATCTCGCATTTGTTCAACCAAATCTATATTAATTTCTTCTGCAATGGATAATTTCTGAAGATCAGACATTCGAGGAAAGTATAGTTTTAAATATTCTATATCTGTTAATGACAGCAGAGTCATTTGTTGTATTTGACACATGTCAATCTTCGTCGCTATGATTCTTAATAGGATGTTTGGATCATAGAAACGTCGAAAAAGAGAATCCAATAAACTGCCAAGTATGTCATCGGACGACAGCATCGCAGAGATTTTAGTCGCTTGCTTGTAGAGCATTCTTTTATCGAAGGTTGTCCAAGGAACATGTTGTTGAAGTTGAAAAAAATTAACGTCGACAGGAGCAAAGTGAGGTACTGTAAAAAGATAATCTTCCTCATAAGCCACATACCAACGTTTCTCGACAAGCCAAAATGAAGTGCAAAAAGATTTGAGAATTTCTTTAGTTAGTGTCTCGAGAATTTTAAACTTGAAATTTAACACAGTGAGACTATTTGACACAATCTGCCAACGATTTCCATTAGCCAAATCATTGTGACCAGTGGCATACAATTCAAGATGTGTTAGATGAATCAATTTCAGCAACAATTGTTCAACTTGATCCATAGAAACTTGTGAATCTATAAATTATCAATATACATGAAAGATTGAACGTCCACATAATACTTTATGTTTTATTTTGATTAATATAATTGTACTTACTTTCAATCTTGAGAGTAAGATGTTTTAATTTCATATGAGATGATAGTAATAAATGTTCACTATGTGATGCCTCATCATGAAGAGAAATGCTCAATGAATGTAAGTATGGTATTTCAGAAAGAATCGTTCGAAATTCATCGATTGTCGTAATTCCCATTTTCAAATGACGCAGACGTGTAAGTGACATTGTAGGCAAAATTGTGAAATTGGAAAGACTTAGTCGATTCAATTGAGGCATTAATCGAACAATAGCTTTCGATAAGGAACTATTCAATTGATTGATCCAATCTGAATAATTATGAATCCGATTTGGAGAGTGTATTTTTATTGTCTTCGAATCATATGTGAATGAATGTAGTCGTTGAAGATGATGTAAATTCAACAAGATTGAAGTCAATGAATCAAATTCAATATTGATTAACCTTAATGATTGAAGTTGACTGAATTGTTCGAGCCGAAAATGTGTTAAAAATAATGCAGATTGACCTGGTGTATCATCAGCATCGGAAAGAATCAGTGTAATAATTTGTGAAGGTTGAATTCGACGACAAACAAGATCAAAATGAGACTTAGAAATTGATTTGAAATTGATTTTATATGATGCATATGAGCGTAAAACACTATCAACATGATTGCTAGTATTTGAAAATGATAAAAGAATTTCATGAGACTGGAAATAACTAAAAATCAAGTGCATAATTTCGACAGGTAGAAAGTCGAAAAACGAGGCTGTACGCATCATGATCACAAAATCAACCGACGATAGCAAGAATGTATACTAAAAAGAAAGCAACCAGCTATTAAAAAGCGAAAAAAAATGATTCATGTTTCAACTTTTTTCTATGCACGTAGAAAGAAAAATACTGCAAGAGTGTTTAAGTGCATTTCTTTCACAAGCAGAAGAAGAAACTGCTTTATAGTTTATTTGCATGACAGTTACAGGACGTAACATGTTAAAACGCATTTGTGTTGACTTTGATTAGTTTCAACACACCTATTGGGGAAAGATAATTTTTGATATTTTGCTTCGACCGTCAATATTCGTTCTGAAGCTTTTTTCGGTGAAAAGTATACATATGATAAGTCACTCATGCGTTATAACTTGGGTGTAATTATTCACCTTAGTTCGACATCAAGATTTTTTGCACCTGCACCACTCCTTCTTCCCCACAGCTCATCTGAAAGTTTTTCTTTTCGGGTCAAATACATGCTACAATATAGAATCGATAGTGCTGGTCATGAATATCACCGTGCTTGTTGTCTGAAGTCTTTGAGTAAGTCAGAATGCGAAATTTTCGATGGTTTTGGTCCTAGACAAAAATTGGAAGTTTTCTATAGTTTTTGAGTCATATTCGTATCAATTTAGCGTTCTAAATTTTTGATAACATATTTCAAATAGGTAATTGAGTATTCTGTGTTTAATGATGCAAAAATGACAGCATCTTAATACATAAAGCAGCTTTTACAATCGAATTACGAGCAAAAATTCTGGATAAATGTGATGGACGACTCTTTTTGAAGTCATACTACTTCGTCATCTCACTATGTCTCCTTCTAAAAATAATATAGATAGATGTAGTTTTTCATGCTCCATCTAAATATGTTCTTGAAGAACAAAGAAAAACAGGGATCACCATCCTTTTTTGAAAGAGTATAAAATGCTTAATATTTTCTCTTCTCACTTGTTTGGGTGGTTTCTACAAAAACAAGGAGCTATTCGTGATTTTTTTTTTTTTTTTGGATATAAGTTTATTGTTCCACACAGGGTTAACAGACAAAGATACATAGAAAAAAGAAAAAAATGACAAAAAGAAAGCTTGTTTTTATTACAACTTTTTCAGCTTTCATCTTCTCCTCTGGACGCGTTACATGAATTTAAAAAAAAATAGGAAAATAACTATTATACGATATTCAGGGGAATTGAGAAAGTAGATAAAGAGAAAAAAGATTCATTTCATTTACAGGTGAGTGTTATTACTTGAAAAATATCGAAATATTNTTGCTAGTACAACCAATTTTTCAAAACCTTGAGTCGAGTTTGGAGGGGTGTGGGATGTGGGTGGGGTGTGGGTGTGAATAAAGAAAAGAACACCCACACCCACCCCCGCACACCTCCACACCCACCACCCACACTCTCACACCCCACCACACACCCTCACCCGTATAAAGCATTTATTAGATGTAATTTAATATACGTTTATGATTATCGTAGAAAAGAATGACACTATTATAGCATTTTTATTTCAGTTATGAAATTAGTTATAAATTCAAAGAATATTTTACTAACATTCAAAAATCATAATATGCTTTTCATAAGTTATTTTTTTCACTTTCAAAAGCACTCTTATTTTTATGTCACTATTTATGATGCTTGGTATATCAATGTTATTTATTTCAATTAATTTTGTGTGTAATATAAAATCAAAAGAAGCAAAAGAATAAGCAGTTTAATGCCAGAATAATCATTTCATTTAAATTTTAATTGAAGAAGATTTCGACTCAATACTGATTATTTGTCCAATATTGAATCAGAATCATAGCCGATATATAAATGGAAAGGTTAATTATAGAGAACTTCATGTCAACACCTTCCGATTTCACTTTAGGTGCTGAATGTAATTCAATTATATCCAAATCGTGCATTGCTCGACTTGTTATTATACCACTTTTCATGGTTTGGTTCGCTTCGGCAGTGAAATTTACATTTTCGATATTAAAAAATGGTGGCAATACAATCGACGGCAGCTTTTGTGTGTTGCTAAGTGTTTCGAATTTCAAACATACGGTTAGAATACAGTTCCCATCGATTGTACCCATCGAATACATGTTGTAATTTGTTGGACACTCGTTACGTGCTGAAGCAAGCGCCGGATTTACGTTATCACATGAGAACATACCACCAAAGAGTGGCAAATTTCGTAAATTTGACACCAGTCTTTCAGCAAGACAAACTTTGATATTATTTGGTCCCGCTGCTTGAGTAAGACCTGTAGGACACGATTGTGAACTAGTGACAGGATTGACTTTTTGTGACGTAAATGATCCCCCATAGACATATAAAGAATTGGCATCTGAGAGTTGATTTTTTATGCAACCAGACAAGACAATTCTACGTTCCCCAATGCCAATATAGACATCATTACAACAAGTACTTAACCACAAAAATCCACATTTATGACAATCGCGTCTATACAAATGTTCATTTTGAAAATATTGACGAATACGAAACATTCTGAAATCGACTGGGCATTGTTCATTACTAGTGTAATAGTTTCTAATACGAAGGCTACTGCATTTTCTAAATTGAAAAGTAACTTATTAAATAATAATCATACTTCCATACAATGTTTTGTGAAACACGATCTAAAAGGAGTGTTGAAGTGTTTAGGGGCAGAAATTTGCACCCCCCCCCCACATACCGTGACAGACACTCACGTGACCCGTCACAGACCGTGACAGACAAGACTCAGAGATCATTATAGACTGTGATAGAGGACTTTAAGGAAATATCGGATATGGTCCATAACTAACATCTGATTGAAGTATATATGGAGTATTATACTGTTGAAATTATATGATGTAAGGTAAGCCATTATGAAGAAATACACATCAGTATGCATAAAAAACAACAACTTTCAGAATATCGGCTATAGCAGCTACATCGTGTTTCACATTTTTAATCCCGCAAGGGATTGCGCTAACAGCTTTTTCTACTCTAATTGATTTTTTTCAATCATGAAACTTAGCAATAATAAATGAAATCGAATTGGATCACGTTAAGGTTATTAAAAATTAATATCGATTATTTGCCGAAGACTCCTCTGCAGAACTTATTTATAGATTACTATGCATTTTTCTCGATTTTAGTAGACTAATCTTAGAATAATGATAGCGAATGTTTCACGGCCTTGTCATAGTAATATGAGGATTCTTAACTTGAAACCAAAAATCGATTTCTACGCATACATGTGGACTTCAAAATATATGAATCAGAAATATATGAGGAAATTAAATAAGTTGATCCTAATTATCTACCCAACAAGTCGTAAGTATTGCCCTAATCTATCACATGGTCTTCCATTCAAGAGTCTTAGCCATTCGACCTATCATGTCTATTTCTGAACGACCAAGATTGCTTCAGGAAGGAAATGATTTTCACAGTTCATTCACTTAAAATTTTGTCCATTCGCAATCTCGTTACATCAGACGTAATGTCCTGTATTTAGATCACTCATTTTCTAAAGATAATTATTGGTGTCGTCAATTTCGTGATCTTTGTTAAGAAATAAAACTTACTTGAATATTTTCTTACTGTTGTAAGCGACTATCTTCCGTACAAGTTTGGATGAAACCACCAAATTGGAATTTTACTGTGGCTGGTGCACACGAACTATCATCAACATTAGCCACCCAGTTGAATGATGGTGAAAGACGATTCATGCATCCTCGATGGGTATTCATTTCAATATAAGTTTCGATTGCATCATTCATTTTTTTCTTAACTTCTACCAAACCTACAAGAGTTAATTCAGGAATTTTCTCTGGTTGAATAATAGAGGTTATATTTTCAATAGCACGTCGAATAATTGCTGGTTTAGTTTTAACTGATGATTGTCAAGTTGTCATATGATTACCCTAAATGAATACGTCACCACCTTTCGAATTTATGATTTTCCGTTGTATTTGTTGTTTAAATCGGCTGATGTCATTTTGACTGAGCGATGAACCGGAACTAAAACTTGCCGATAGACTAAATGAACCAAGAAATGATGCTTCGACTGCTGCCTTGTAAAGTTTTTTATTCATTTCACTTGGAGAATAATCAGATTCTGATATAAAATCTTCTTCACTAATTGAGCCACCCAAATAGAGTCTACTGGTGTAATGTGTACCATACTTTTTAACAAATAACTCAGCAGCATATGTAGCCATCAATGGTTGATCAGTCAAGACATATTCAGCTATTTTAATGAGCTCTTTCTTAACATGAGACATCAATGAACAAGTTGGCAAAAGGATGGTATCGACCATGAGATAATCAATTTGATTATGTAGTGTAATCGATTTCGTTTCCTTTTGCTCTTCCTTAATTCTCTGATATTCATTAGAATATAAACCACCAATTTTAAAGCCAAGATAGCCAGCACTGCCACCAATCATAAAATTCGATGCATAGTCATTTTTATTAGAATCGAACGTATCCAAAGATGTAGAACCCATTTCAATTTTGTTTTCATGCAACGGAATCATTTCAATACATGATTGAAAAATATCAGAATCATTGAAATTTGAGATATTGAACACTGGACTCATGTCAAGAAATCGTAGCTGATCCCATCCGAAACCTGGATAAATATCAATTTTCAAAGACTTTTCTCCGTGACAAGTTGCAAAAAGCAGAACACCAATAACAAACAGCATGATTTGTTGGATCTGTCTTAATGTAGCGTTCAGAGTGCAACGCAAAATCTATATAAATCTCATAGTGAGAAAAGTAAATGCCTATTGAAAAATATTCAGTAATGATAGAATTGAAACTTCAACTTTCAAGTTTTAAGAGCCTTGAAAATCAATTCGCAACGCCCACATCAGATGCGATGATGTGTGCGTTTAGATTCCTGAAAGTTATAAGTTGAGACTAGAATTTTTATTTTTTAATTGATTGAATTGAAGTCACATTGAGTAATTTGAAACAAAGACAACTTGAAAATGTATTACAACCTATTTTACTGTTAGAAGAAACTTACGTTTTCTACAAAAAGATTCAGTTGAATCTTGCTAACCGTTGTGATATCGCTCTTTGAGACCAATACACAAGTTCCGACAAACTATGATCTTAACAGCATGCTACCTTCGTGTTTTTATATTGTTGTAATATAAAATATTCCTGACCGTAGAAATAATATTAAGATTGGGATTTATGATGGTAAATATTGATGTAAACAGAAATCCTGATTTTTTAGCATGCCTCTCGTAAAATCACGAAAGATAAGGCTTCATATTTGAATCAACAGACGGACGAAGGCGCTTGAATGTTCTGTGTCAGGTGATATCTTCATATCAAAGCTAATAAAAATATGAGAATGTTGATCGACGTGGTAAAAATAGAGCTCTAATCCAGATTTAAGAAAGAAACGAAAATTATGGCATGTCTTTGTTCAAATCTAGAAGTTTTTTTTATGAGGTACGGATGTAGATGTCGATGAAGAGATGAGGCAATAATCATCCATGACCGCATCCCAAAACTCTAATGCGTTGATGTCTTTTGACATGAAACATCGGTAAAATCAGCAAGCTTTAAATTCAAACTTTTTGAATTTTTAGAATTTAATGGTGCTGAACAAATGTTTAATACGCGAAGAATTATATAATCATGTAATTAAGTGATGAGATTGACAATAAAATTCAAGAGACAGATATAAGTTTAGTCTTTTCATATGACGCAATATCGTGTTTCAATTGAGTATGGAATAAAAGAACTTTAGCGTTCCGCTAATGATATTTCTTGCTCTATATAATCTGCGATTTTGTTTTTCATTCAAATTTATCATATGATATTAATAAAGCCTCATTTCACTCAAAAATAGAGCAAAATGACTTGTTTTTCTTCCTAGCATGAAAATTTCATAATGAAATTAAATAAATCCAATTTCATTTATTCCTGAGAAAAAATTCTACTTCTTTCACCTTAAAGAAAAAAATCAACGATGAATAAATTATTCTCTCTATATGGTAATCATGTTCTATGTCGCAATACAACGTTTTATTTATGCTATGAGTTAGAGATATGTATTGCAGTAATTACGGATAAATATTTTTACACAAAGTATAGATTGATCAAATATGTCTATGATGAAATTTTGATTGAATTTTTCGAATATCTCAATGTGTTGGATATATTTCATACATTTGATCAATTAGATTATCGTTTTGATCCACTGATTCGGAATAGTCCATTGTATCTCAATTTTGAATATGCAAGTAAATCAGTATTCAATGAATTTTTCAAGAAAATTGCATCGACTTTCGATGTGAAAATACAAATTTATTCATTACATTTATCGAACAACAATGTATTGAATCGAATTAATGTTTTTCTTTCACGATTTTCGCTCGATCAATTTCCTCAACTTCGATCTCTCACATTGACTGGAATGAAAGTAGATGAAGTAGAAAGTTTGAAAACAATCTTACCACCAATATCTCAGTTGTATCATCAAGTACAAATTAATTAATTTTAATTATGATTTGAATTCGTTATATCAAATATTGACAACCATGCCGAGACTAAAATATCGTAACTGTCAAAATCTTTATTAGAAGAAATGTTTTTTGCATTATCCAATAAAATTAGATGATTATCAATGCTTGCATGTAAAAGACTTAATTCTGCTTGATTTTTGATGTACATTTGAAGATTTTAAGATGTTGATAAAACGTATATCAAATTTAAAAAATTTAACTACATCTGCTGATTATGAAATAGATATAGTCGATGCTTGTTGTTGAAAACAATTAATAATCTTTTCACTTTCTAAATTAACTCATTTTCAATTCAAATCTCAAATTTCTCGTCAAAAAGAGTCTGCACATCAGTTTAACGTATTCGGTAATGTGACAAATTTAATTAGAGACAATCAAGAAATAATAGAAAATTTTTCATATCGTTTTTCGAATGTGATTTCATTAACATTATGTCCTTTTATAAAGAAATCGAATCCGAATGATGATAGTTTATTGAAAAAATATATAGAACCTTTAAAAATGACTGTTAATTTATCTAATATAAAACATTTAGATATTTCAAATGATCATCAAATGCAATCATTATTTCTATTATTAGAAGTTTTAAAAGAAGCATCAAATTTATCATCTATCAAACTTGCGCCACTTATTTTAAAACCACTATTCGACTATTATGATATACAGATGTACACTAAATAAAATGATTCGAAAATTAAGCATTTCAGAATATATTCACAGTATATCCAATCAATCGAGTCAAATCGAGAAATTTTGTAACATCTTTTCTAATATTGTTGAATAAACATGGGAAAACTGCGATTCAGATCATTTGCTATGTTTGAAAGAACAATTATCAAAATTATCAATGATAAAAGTAACTTAATTTTTCATTGAATATACATTGTTAATATTAAAATGAAAATGTGAAACAGGAAAGGATGGGAAAAAACACGTGCCTCACTATAGCGAGAAGTATGAAATAGATGATAATTCTAAAATCTTTTTTAACTCTATACTACTAGAGAAAATCATTCTTATGGTTCTCTTTCACCTTCATATTCTTCAAAATTTATGAATAATATCAGTATGAATTTTTTTTTCTTCAACTAACAGTTATTACTTGTTACGGAACTATATTTATCGGTTATTAAAATCAAGAATAAGAATTTATCTTTTAGAAAAAAAAAATGACGAGTTTTTAATAATAGAAATCAGCTAGAAGTTGTTTTCATTGCTTTAGTAACGATAAGCGGAAGTTTCCATTCTATGTCCATGGATATTTCATCTAATATAACTTTAATTACAAGTTCATAGTGTATGTGAAGTAGTGATTCAGCAGGCGAAGAAGGAAGTTCGAATGAACATGTATGAGTCACATAACGAGATACAGATAATTCGATACTCTTGTTGACATGTATATCTTGAAACGCTTCAATATTTTCAACATCATAATCATATACATTGACGCGTTTTACTGCACTGGATCCTATTTCCCATATTTGAATGAGAATCATTGATATACCTAATATCTGTTCTTGTTGTGGATTGTACAAGCTTAAATGACTACTATGTTACTTCCAGCAGGAATAATATTCTCTTGAAGAGTAATATTAACATATACACCATTTCCAGTTCTACTTTTTTTCTCAACTTTATTTCTAATTGTAGAGCATGTTGAATAATATTGAACGACAATAGGAGATTTTTTGTCAATATATCTCATGTATATGTTAGGTCGAATGAATGTAACCATAACGAAATATCGGATATATGGATATGAATTAGTGATCTGTTCAGTTGAAGGTGGTAGACCATAGTCAAGACGGTCACTAAATGGCCAACTGTAATTACCAAGTGGTAAAAGAAATTCACTCTGATTACTGATCGATTGAAGCATGACATTTTGTTCGAAAAACTTAGCTAGATGTATAGTTGTTGTTGGGTATGAACCATGGTACTTTGTCGTAGTATAGACAAGTTCACCAATTAGAGTAACGTTAACACCCCAAAGTTTTAGTTTTCGATGATTATTATTGATGAATTCGATAGTACCCGAAACTACATTACCAGTCCTATAGTGAGTCTTGTTTTGATCAGAAAATCGACATACAGCATTCCATTCGGATTCATCGGTACGATTCAATGCTAAAAATGTAACAAAATTACAAAATTTCTCTGATCTTGTTTAGAAAAACAAAACTTTTAGAAACAACTTCGATTCTAATTTGAAATATTTCATATATTTCGTTTGATATCTCAATATCATAAAATCTTCAATAAACTTATGACAATTTTAAATTCAACAAGATTATTCATTTAAATTCGATCCATAATAACTCGAAAGCGTGAACTTCTGTCATTCATACCTATTAGTGTTGCCAGTATTCCAACGTACAAACCAATAATAATACATGGACACATTATACATGTGATAAGCGCTATTTTTACACGTCTCGTCAAGCAGGAACCACTAGTAGATACCACTGATTGGTAAGTAACTGTGGTTGTCGGGTAGCCATTGTTATTCGTCGGCATCATTGGTGACGGTGTCGTATTCATCGCATATACTTGTGTAATTAAATATTCTTTCAACTGAACAGCATTTGTATGATTATCTGAAAGATAAATGTTTTAAATTATTGCCTAATTTATAATATGGTGCGCATTATTTTACTTTGAACTTCTCTGATAGATTTGTAAACGAATTTAATTTTTCTGATCTTAAGTAATAGATTGATTTCTGAGACTCTATACTTCTGTTTTTCTTGAAATTATTTCTCATCTGTTATACTTGAGCTTTAAACCTATTGGAAAAAATAGACTTTCAAGCTTTCTTAAGCTTTATGAACTTTGAAAGATAAAAAAATGAGCTGACATATACTGTCGATTCATCATGATCTAACTTATAAATAACAAAAAATGGATTTTTTTTCTATGGATCAAGCACCATCTTTTGATGGAGCTATTATATTTTG